ATCCAGGTGAAAGCTATGATCCCTTATTGGTGTCACCTGTTAAATCCACTTCAAATCAGTGTAGATGAAGGGGAGGAAACAGGTTAAAGAAAGATTTTTAAGCCTTGAGACAATTGCGACATGGATTGTGCCTTTGAACGGGGTATGGTAGTAGGTGCCAGGCGCACCGGTTTGTAGCAAGAACTGCAACGCTGCAGTGTTTTTCACACCCAACAGTTTGCCACGTGTATCAACAATGGTCCACCACCCAAAGGACATCCAGCCAACTCGACCCGACTGTGGGAAGCATTGGAGTCAACAGTATCCCTGTGGAACGCTTTCGACACTTTGTAGAGTCCATGCCCAGACGACTTGAGGCTGTTCTGAGGGCAAATATAAAGATATAGTATGATATAGTATAGTAAAGATATAGTATAGCAAAGATATAGTATGATATAGTATAGTAAAGATATAGTATGATATAGTATATTAAAGATATAATATGATATAGTATAGTAAATATATAGTATGATATAGTATAGTAAAGATATAGTATGATATAGTATAGTAAATATATAGTATGATATAGTATAGTAAAGATATAGTATAGCAAAGATATAGTATGATATAGTATAGTAAAGATATAGTATGATATAGTATAGTAAAGATATAGTATGATATAGAATAGTAAATATAGTATAATAAAGATAGAATATAATAAATATACACTACCGGTCAAAAGTTTTAGAACAACAGCATGTCCAACCTGTGGTCTGGTCACTATAACAACAGTCAACTACTCATTCAAGGGTTTTTCTTTATTTTTTACTATTTTCTACATTGTAGAATAACAGGGAAGACATCAAAACTATGAAATAACACATAGTATATTAAAGATATAGTATAGTAAGAATGTACTGTGCACTAGTTGTTCTGTTTATACAGATAATTATCTAGTCAGAAATTCAGAGCTTTCATCAAATCAGGAGTTATAGGCTGAAAGGGTATCTTGTGTAGATTATTACCAATGATTCTAGCAACAAAAAGCTAGTTCTAAATATCTGAAACTACAGATTATTTAGTATATTTACAAAATACAGATATATCTCACAGCTGGCAATGCAAAACATTTAAGTCCTTGTTGGTGTCATTTGGCAAGTTTATCCCTAAAATACATTTGAGAGGTTACACTTACAATGAAGTACATCATCTCTCTGGGAGAGAAGATGGGGAAAGTGAAGTACATCATCTCTCTGGGAGAGGAGACGGGGAAAGTGAAGTGCATCATCTCTCTGGGAGAGGAGACAGGAAAGTGCCCATAAAAACACCCCATAAAAACAGAAAGCGTCGTGATGAGTTTCGGATGATTGGGTTAAATATTAGCTAACACTCTCACATGTGAACACTGAACAGATACTGTTGGATGATGGTAAAACATATTTTATGGCATGAAAGCACTGACTAATGGCACTGAAGCATAGAGTTCTACGTAATGGAAATAATACTGGGTATGTTTTCTTCTGTCACAATACTGGGTATGTTGTGGTTAACTTGGGTAATATTCATTAGGCAGCAAAGGGAAGAAAATGGACTGAAACAGAACCTAAACCTGTCCAATAAGAAATGCTTGTTTTTTGTGTTCGGTTGCTAAATGTTTTGTATCTTTTTAGTGGGGAACTGTTCATTTCAAGACCAACAGATGGGAGCAGAGAGCAAAATCGACATTTCTCCAACAGACCAGGATTAGGTGACTCCAGTCCTTGAAACCTGTGGGTGTGCAGGCTTTTGTTACATCCCAGCTCTAACACAACAGATTAAACAAATCTACAGTAATGAGCATGATCAGTAGATTAGCTGCATCAAGTATGTTTGTGCTGGGATGGAACAGAAGCCTGCACACACCCCTGTGGCCCTCCAACACCGGAGTTAATCAACCTTAGTCTACAGCAGTGTTTCCTAATCAGTGGGTGAGGGCCCACCTTTAAGTCATGGCTAGTGTATTTGCATTCACCTTTGCCCCTGAAATCATCAGGTTCGGTTGCGAGATCATTTCAATCACAATCATTTTCAAATTAAATAAATTGAAAAGATGAAAAATAATATAGGAGTATGTGAGTTCTTTGAGTCAGTCAGAGGGAAGTTATATCTCTATTGTAACATGTTAGACCTATGGAGACCCTGCATGGGCACACCCATGTTTATGTTGCTTAGCGACTAGAGTGGCGCCGGAGAATATGGCTGCCGTTTTACAGCCCTCTAACCAATTGTGTTTTTTCGCGTTATTTGTAATTTTTTCTGTACGTAATGTTTCTGCCACCGTCTCTTATGACCAAAAAGAGCTTATTGATATCAGGACAGCGATTACTCACCTCTTATTGGACAAAGATTTTTTCTTCAACGAGTCAGACGTGAAGGATATCCTACAGACACCCGACAAGGCCCAAATCCCCACCATTCGCAGGAGAAAGAGACAGAGATATCGTGGACGTAGGTCGGGGTGCCTTGTAAGGATCCGACGGCAAGCGAGTAAACTGCCTCTTCCATCAATCCTATTCGCCAATCTTCAATCATTGGAAAATAAATTAAATGACCTAAGATTACGGTTCTCCTACCAACGGGACATTAAAAACTGTAATATCTTATGTTTCACCAAGTCGTGGCTGAACGACGACATGGACAACATACAGCTGGCGAGATATACGCTGCATCGGCAGGATAGAACGGCTGACTCCGGTAAGAGAAGGGGTGGCGGTCTGTGTATATTTGTAAACAACAGCTGGTGCACAAAATCAAATACTAAGGAAGTGTCGAGGTTTTGCTCGCCTGAGGTAGAGTATCTTATGATAAGCTGTAGACCACACTATTTACCAAGAGAGTTTTCATCTATATTTTTCATAGCTGTCTATCTACCACCACAAACCAATGCTGGCATTAAGATTGCACTCAATGAGCTGTATAAGGCCATAACTAAACAGGAAAACGCTAATGCAGAGGCAGCGCTCCTAGTGGCCGGGGACATGAATGCAGGGAAACTCAAATCCGTTCTACCTAATTTCTACCAGCATGTTAAATGTACAACCAGAGGAAAAAAACTCTAGATCACCTTTACTCCACACACAGAGACGCATACAAAGCTCTCCCTCGCCCTCCATTTGGCGAATCTGACCATAACTTTATCCTCCTGTTTCCTGCTTATGAGCAAAAACTAAAGCAGGAAGCACCAGTGACAACAAAAAAGTGGTCAGATGACACAGATGCTAAGCTACAGGACTGTTTTGCTAGCACAGACTGGAACATGTTCCGGGATTCTTCAGATAGCATTGAGGAGTACACCACATCAGTCACTGGCTTCATCAATAAGTGCATCGATGACGTCGTCCCCACAGTGACCGTACGTACATACCCCAACCAGAAGCCATGGATTACAGGCAACATCCGCACTGAGCTAAAGGGTAGAGCTGCCGCTTTCAAGGAGCGGGACTCTAACCTGGACGCTTATTAGAAATCCCGCTATGCCCTCCGACGAACCATCAAACAGGCAAAGAGTCAATACAGGACTAAGATTGAATCGTACTACACCGGCTCTGACGCTCGTTGGATGTGGCAGGGCTTGAAAACTATTACAGACTACAAAGGGAAGCACAGCCGCGAGCTGCCCAGTGACACAAGACTTCCAGACGAGCCATCCACTTCTATGCTCGCTTCGAGGCAAGCAACACTGAAGCATACATGAGAGCACCAGCTGTTCCGGATGACTATGTGATCACGCTCTCTGTAGCTGATGTGAGTAAGACCTTTAAACAGGTCAACATTAACAAGGCCGCAGGGCCAGACGGATTACCAGGACGTGTACTCCGAGCATGTGCTGACCAACTGGCAAGTGTCTTCACCAACATTTTCAACACGTCCCTGACTGAGTCTGTAATACCAACATGTTTCAAGCAGACCACCATAGTCCCCGTGCCCAAGGACACTAAGATAACCTGCCTGAATGACTACCAACCCGTAGCACTGACGTCTGTAGCCATGAAGTGCTTTGAAAGGCTGGTCATGGCTCACATCAACACCATCATCCCAGAAACCCTAGACCCACTCCAATTTGCATACCGCCCCAACAGATCCACAGATGATGCAATCTCTATTGCACTCCACACTGCCCTTTCCCACCTGGACAAGAGGAACACCTACGTGAGAATGCTATTCATTGACTACAGCTCAGCGTTCAACACCATAGTGCCCTCAAAGCTCATCACTAAGCTAAGGATCCTGGGACTAAACAACTGGCTAAGGATCCTCCCTCTGCAACTGGATCCTGGACTTCCTGAAGGGCTGCCCCCAGGTGGTAAGGGTAGGTAACAACACATCTGCCACACTGATCCTCAACACAGGGGCCCCTAAGGGGTGCGTGCTCAGTCCCCTCCTGTACTCCCTGTTCACCCATGACTGCATGGCCAGGCACGACTCCAACACCATCATTAAGTTTGCCGACGACACAACAGTGGTAGGCCTGATCACTGACGACGATGAGACAGCCTATAGGGAGGAGGTCAGAGACCTGGCCATGTGGTGCCAGGATAACAACCTCTCCCTCAACGTGACTAAGACAAAGGAGATGATTGTGGACTACAGGAAAAAAAAGAGGACTGAGCACGCCCCCATTCTCATCGACGGGGCTGTAGTGGAACAGGTTGAGAGCTTCAAGTTCCTTGGTGTCCACATCACCAACGAACTATCATGGTCGAAACACACCAAGCTAGTCGTGAAGAGGGCACGAGAAAATCTCAGGAGACTGAAAAGATTTGGCATGGGTCCTTAGATCCTCAAAAAGTTATACAGCTGCACCATCGAGAGCATCCTGACTGGTTGCATCACCGCCTGGTATGGCAACTGCTCGGCCTCCGACCGCAAGGCACTACAGAGGGTAGTGCGTACGGCCCAAGACATCACTGGGGCCAAGCTTCCTGCCATCCAGGACCTCTATACCAGGCGGTGTCAGAGGAAGGCCCTCAAAATTGTCAAAGACTCCAGCCACCCTAGTCATAGACTGTTCTCTCTGCTACCGCACGGCAAGCGGTACCGGAGCGCCAAGTCTAGGTCCAAAAGGCTTCTCAACAGCTTCTACCCCCAAGCCATAAGACTCCTGAACAGCTAATCATGGCTACCCTGACTATTTGCACTGCCCCCCCACCCCATCTTTTTACGCTGCTGCTACTCTGTTATTTATTTATGCATAGTCACTTTAACTCTACCCACATGTACATATTACCTCAACTAACCGGTGCCCCCGCACATTGACTCTGCACCGGTACCCCCCTGTATATATAGCCTCCCTACTGTTATTTTATTTTACTTCTGCTCTTTTTTTCTCAACAATTTTTTGTTGTTGTTGTTTTATTTTACTTTTTATTAAGAAATAACTGCATTGTTGGTTAAGGGCTCTAAGTAAGCATTTCACGGTAATGTCTACACCTGTTGTATTCGGCGCATGTGGCAAATGAAATTTGATTTGATTTGATTTTATCATATGTAGATTGTAGCTGCTGGCTTTTCAAAGTCATATACACAAGTCAAGTTCAAATTGCTGAGTCATCTTCAAGTGTTTACGTAAAGTTGTCTGTACATGTTCAGTTCTGTGGTGTCCAACCGAACCTTGAGAGTTGTATTAGTTACATTTCACCATCTATACCAGGGGCAGACAACATACATAATCTGGCCATTCGGGAGGTTTGAGTAAAAATATACATTTTGGATTAAAAAACCCTCCGGGCCGCTCTTGAAAGTCTAAAACTCGATAGAAAGTATGTCGAAATTATAATGGACCTATACGTTTTCAAATAACTGCCCTTTTTGTGGTCCGCAAATTGCTTTTGACCAACAAATCATTCCCCAAAAACTGTGCAACCCTCCGCTGAATTTTGAAATCCCAATGTGGCCCTCGAGCGAAAATGATTGCCCACCCTGATCTTTACAGTACCAGCTTGAAGCATAAGGGGGCGATGCGTGCCATTGTGTATCCATGTACCCAGCCTTGTAATCATTTAGTTAACAGAGAGTAATACCATTCTGTACACAAGCCTAGCTTGGCTTTGGCACAAATGGCGTGTTCATTCATCATATGGATACTCTCGATAGGGGAGTGGACTCTCAGGCTGAGGTTACTCCCAGCCTCCCGCCAGGTTCTCTGTTCTCTGTACCAGACTCTCTGTTCAGCACATGATAGATAAGGGGGGGGCCGATGACATCAGAGGGGGAGGCCGATGACATCAGAGTGGGAGGCTGATGACATCAGAGTGGGAGGCCGATGACATCAGAGGGGGAGGCCGATGACATAATAATAATAATATGCCATTTAGCAGACGCTTTTATCCAAAGCGACTTACAGTCATGTGTGCATAAATTTTTACGTATGGGTGGTTCCGGGGACCGAACCCACTATCCTGGCGTTACAAGCGCCATGCTCTACCAGCTGAGCTACAGAGGACCACAGAGTGGGAGGCCGATGACATCAGAGTGGGAGGCCGATGACATCAGAGTGGGAGGCCGATGACATCAGAGTGGGAGGCCGATGACATCAGAGTGGGAGGCCGATGACATCAGAGTGGGAGGCCGATGACATCAGAGTGGGAGGCCGATGACATCAGAGTGGGAGGCCGATGACATCAGAGTGGGAGGCCGATGACATCAGAGTGGGAGGCCGATGACATCAGAGTGGGAGGCCGATGACATCAGAGTAGGAGGCCGATGACATCAGAGTGCACCATCAGACCATCTCCTTGAAATGAGAAAACCTTGAATTTTAGAATATTTTTTTTTCCTTAAGTGTGTGTACTTTACTGTGTTTATACATGGAATATCATTTTTTTTAATGGCAAAAGTTCCAAAATAGCTGGAGTGGGACTTTAATTGCTAGCCAGATCTAGGAAGTTTGATCGACATGGAATGAGAGTCTGAGGAGTTAAAAAACAGATCTGTGATCAGACTTCATTCCTGTTTTCCACCTCACATTCCCAGGAGCATTTATGATCCCATTCCTGATCCTGCTGGTTCTGGAGGGAATTCCACTGCTGCACCTGGAATTTGCTATCGGACAGCGCCTCAGGAAGGGCAGTGTGGGAGTGTGGACGGCCATTAACCCATATCTGACTGGTGTTGGTGAGTCCAACACAAACAGTAGAAAAATGTGTAGTGAGCTTACCAATGTAAAAAAATAAAGTTCTGCAGTCTTCAAAGTGAGGTTATCATGTTTGGAGAGTGTGTATCTATCTTCTCCTTCTAATGCTAGAGTCCCAAATGGCACCCTATTCCCTACATAGTGCACTACTTTAGACCGGAGGCAAAGGGCTGCCATTTGGGACTCAACCATAAAGGACCATTACCTTACCTCACAGATATGTGGTGATATCTGGAATAACGCCTCGGGCAGAGGAGGCTGGTGGGAGGAGCTACAGGAGGACGGCTCGTTGTAATGGCTGGAGTGGAACGCATCAAACACATAGGAAACCACGACTGACTCAGTTCCATGTATTTCATTCCAGCCATTGCAATGAGCCCGTCCTCCCGTAGCTCCTCCCACCAGCCTCCTCTGGCCCCAGGCACACCACTGGCATGTGGTGATATCTGGAATGATTGTGTCCCACAGGCGTCGCCTCCTTGTCAGTCTCCTTCCTGGTGGGCATGTACTACAACACTATCATCGCCTGGGTGATGTGGTACTTCTTCAACTCCTTCCAGAACCCTCTGCCGTGGAGTCAGTGTCCTGTCGATGACAACCTGACGGGTATGTTCATATTCTGCATGGATTTAAAGTCACAAGTTCACTAAAAAAAATCAGTTTTTAAGACCACCAAAAGGGTGTCTGATGTGGAGATTTTCATGGTCCTTATCTTGTGAGGCATCTAAGCTCTACAGAAGTCGTTGTCAGGCAAAATGCTGTTGGACTGGCCCCGTTGTCAGGCAAAATGCTGTTGGACTGGCCCCGTTGTCAGGCAAAATGCTGTTGGACTGGCCCCGTTGTCAGGCAAAATGCTGTTGGACTGGCCCTTTGGGTTTAACTGTGTTTTTGCCGCACCCCTGTAGGTCTGGTCTCAGAATGCGCCCGGAGTTCCCCAGTGGATTATTTCTGGTACAGAGACACACTCAACACGTCCGCATCCATAGGGGACTCTGGAGGACTGCAGTGGTGGATGGTGTTGTGTCTACTGTGTGCCTGGCTGGTGTTGTACGTCTGCTGCCTTCGTGGCATTGAGACCACTGGCAAGGTACGATACCCCGTCCCATTCAGACTACTGGCAAGGTACGATACCCCGTCCCATTCAGACAACTGGCAAGGTACGATACCCCGTCCCATTCAGACAACTGGCAAGGTACGATACCCCGTCCCATTCAGACAACTGGCAAGGTACGATACCCCGTCCCATTCAGACAACTGGCAAGGTACGATACCCCGTCCCATTCAGACAACTGGCAAGGTACGATACCCCGTCCCATTCAGACAACTGGCAAGGTACGATACCCCGTCCCATTGAGACCACTGGCAAGGTACGATACCCCGTCCCATTGAGACCACTGGCAAGGTATGATACCCCGTCCCATTGAGACCACTGGCAAGGTACGATACCCCGTCCCATTGAGACCACTGGCAAGGTACGATACCCCGTCCCATTGAGAAAACTGGCAAGGTACGATACCCGGTCTCTTCGGGTACCATTCAGATAGGATTCTAGACTTAATTCAATTTTAAGTGTTTTCCATTCAGAATCGCAACACACTTTACATTAAAACAATAATAAAATAACATAGAAAGCAAAACAATCCCTTATTAAAAGCCTGGCTAAAAAGTGATTTAAAAACCTCAATGGTGTCCGCCCCTCCTACATGGACAGGGCAAGCTGTTCCACAACTGAGGTTCTTTAACAGAGAACGCTCAGCCCCCTGCCGTGGTTCTGCATCTAGGAACCGTAAGCAGACCGTCTCCTTGGGAGCGGAGCGCCCTCAATGGGTTGCACGGAACGAGCGTGTCTGTCAGATGAGAGGGGGTCAAGGCCATGCAGTGCCTTAAAAGTGAAGAGTGAGACTTTACAGGCAGCCAGTGTAGTGCAGAACCAGCTGGAGGGATGTGCTCATGTCTTCTAGTGTTGGTTAGAATCCCAGCTGCAGAGTTCTGGACAAGTTGTAGGCTTCTAATAGTAGAGTCTGAGCAGCTGGAGAGGAGCGTTTTACAATAGTCTAGATTATATTAGAGTCTGAGCAGCTGGACATTAGAGTATTACAGTAGTCTAGATTATATTAGAGTCTGAGCAGCTGGGGAGGAGAGTATTACAGTAGTCTAGATTATATTAGAGTCTGAGCAGCTGGACAGGAGGGCATTACAGTAGTCTAGATTATATTAGAGTCTGAGCAGCTGGAGAGGAGAGTTTTACAGTAGTCTAGATTATATTAGAGTCTGAGCAGCTGGAGAGGAGAGTTTTACAGTAGTCTAGATTATATTAGAGTCTGAGCAGCTGGAGAGGAGAGTATTACAGTAGTCTAGATTATATTAGAGTCTGAGCAGCTGGACATTAGAGTATTACAGTAGTCTAGATTATATTAGAGTCTGAGCAGCTGGAGAGGAGAGTATTACAGTAGTCTAGATTATATTAGAGTCTGAGCAGCTGGACAGGAGAGTATTACAGTAGTCTAGATTATATTAGAGTCTGAGCAGCTGGACAGGAGAGTATTACAGTAGTCTAGATTATATTAGAGTCTGAGCAGCTGGAGAGGAGAGTATTACAGTAGTCTAGATTATATTAGAGTCTGAGCAGCTGGAGAGGAGAGTATTACAGTAGTCTAGATTATATTAGAGTCTGAGCAGCTGGACATTAGAGTATTACAGTAGTCTAGATTATATTAGAGTCTGAGCAGCTGGACATTAGAGTATTACAGTAGTCTAGATTATATTAGAGTCTGAGCAGCTGGACATTAGAGTATTACAGTAGTCTAGATTATATTAGAGTCTGAGCAGCTGGAGAGGAGATTATTACAGTAGTCTAGATTATATTAGAGTCTGAGCAGCTGGACATTAGAGTATTACAGTAGTCTAGATTATATTAGAGTCTGAGCAGCTGGACAGGAGAGTATTACAGTAGTCTAGATTATATTAGAGTCTGAGCAGCTGGAGAGGAGAGTTTTACAGTAGTCTAGATTATATTAGAGTCTGAGCAGCTGGAGAAGAGAGTTTTACAGTAGTCTAGATTATATTAGAGTCTGAGAAGCTGGAGAGGAGAGTATTACAGTAGTCTAGATTATATTAGAGTCTGAGCAGCTGGGGAGGAGAGTATTACAGTAGTCTAGATTATATTAGAGTCTGAGAAGCTGGAGAGGAGAGTATTACAGTAGTCTAGATTATATTAGAGTCTGAGCAGCTGGAGAGGAGAGTTTTACAGTAGTCTAGATTATATTAGAGTCTGAGCAGCTGGAGAGGGGAGTATTACAGTAGTCTAGATTATATTAGAGTCTGAGCAGCTGGAGAGGAGAGTATTACAGTAGTCTAGATTATATTAGAGTCTGAGCAGCTGGAGAGGAGAGTATTACACTAGTCTAGATTATATTAGAGTCTGAGCAGCTGGAGAGGAGAGTATTACAGTAGTCTAGATTATATTAGAGTCTGAGCAGCTGGACAGGAGAGTATTACAGTAGTCTAGATTATATTAGAGTCTGAGCAGCTGGAGAGGAGAGTATTACAGTAGTCTAGATTATATTAGAGTCTGAGCAGCTGGACAGGAGAGTATTACAGTAGTCTAGATTATATTAGAGTCTGAGCAGCTGGACATTAGAGTATTACAGTAGTCTAGATTATATTAGAGTCTGAGCAGCTGGACAGGAGAGTATTACAGTAGTCTAGATTATATTAGAGTCTGAGCAGCTGGAGAGGAGAGTTTTACAGTAGTCTAGATTATATTAGAGTCTGAGCAGCTGGAGAGGAGAGTTTTACAGTAGTCTAGATTATATTAGAGTCTGAGCAGCTGGAGAGGAGAGTATTACAGTAGTCTAGATTATATTAGAGTCTGAGAAGCTGGAGAGGAGAGTATTACAGTAGTCTAGATTATATTAGAGTATGAGCAGCTGGATAGGAGAGTTTTACAGTAGTCTAGATTATATTAGAGTCTGAGCAGCTGGAGAGGAGAGTTTAACAGTAGTCTAGATTATATTAGAGTCTGAGCAGCTGGAGAGGAGAGTTTTACAGTAGTCTAGATTATATTAGAGTCTGAGCAGCTGGACAGGAGAGTATTACAGTAGTCTAGATTATATTAGAGTCTGAGCAGCTGGAGAGGAGAGTTTTACAGTAGTCTAGATTATATTAGAGTCTGAGCAGCTGGAGAGGAGAGTATTACAGTAGTCTAGATTATATTAGAGTCTGAGCAGCTGGAGAGGAGAGTATTACAGTAGTCTAGATTATATTAGAGTCTGAGCAGCTGGAGAGGAGAGTTTTACAGTAGTCTAGATTATATTAGAGTCTGAGCAGCTGGAGAGGAGAGTATTACAGTAGTCTAGATTATATTAGAGTCTGAGCAGCTGGAGAGGAGAGTATTACAGTAGTCTAGATTATATTAGAGTCTGAGCAGCTGGAGAGGAGAGTTTTACAGTAGTCTAGATTATATTAGAGTCTGAGCAGCTGGACAGGAGAGTTTTACAGTAGTCTAGATTATATTAGAGTCTGAGCAGCTGGAGAGGAGAGTATTACAGTAGTCTAGATTATATTAGAGTCTGAGCAGCTGGACATTAGAGTATTACAGTAGTCTAGATTATATTAGAGTCTCAGCAGCTGGACAGGAGAGTATTACAGTAGTCTAGATTATATTAGAGTCTGAGCAGCTGGAGAGGAGAGTATTACAGTAGTCTAGATTATATTAGAGTCTGAGCAGCTGGAGAGGAGAGTTTTACAGTAGTCTAGATTATATTAGAGTCTGAGCAGCTGGAGAGGAGAGTTTTACAGTAGTCTAGATTATATTAGAGTCTGAGCAGCTGGAGAGGAGAGTATTACAGTAGTCTAGATTATATTAGAGTCTGAGCAGCTGGACATTAGAGTATTACAGTAGTCTAGATTATATTAGAGTCTGAGCAGCTGGACAGGAGAGTATTACAGTAGTCTAGATTATATTAGAGTCTGAGCAGCTGGACATTAGAGTATTACAGTAGTCTAGATTATATTAGAGTCTGAGCAGCTGGAGAGGAGAGTTTTACAGTAGTCTAGATTATATTAGAGTCTGAGCAGCTGGACAGGAGAGTATTACAGTAGTCTAGATTATATTAGAGTCTGAGCAGCTGGAGAGGAGATTATTACAGTAATCTAGATTATATTAGAGTCTGAGCAGCTGGACAGGAGAGTATTACAGTAGTCTAGATTATATTAGAGTCTGAGCAGCTGGAGAGGAGATTATTACAGTAATCTAGATTATATTAGAGTCTGAGCAGCTGGAGAGGAGAGTTTTACAGTAGTCTAGATTATATTAGAGTCTGAGCAGCTGGAGAGGAGAGTTTTACAGTAGTCTAGATTATATTAGAGTCTGAGAAGCTGGAGAGGAGAGTATTACAGTAGTCTAGATTATATTAGAGTCTGAGCAGCTGGAGAGGAGAGTATTACAGTAGTCTAGATTATATTAGAGTCTGAGCAGCTGGAGAGGAGAGTTTTACAGTAGTCTAGATTATATTAGAGTCTGAGCAGCTGGACAGGAGGGCATTACAGTAGTCTAGATTATATTAGAGTCTGAGCAGCTGGAGAGGAGAGTTTTACAGTAGTCTAGATTATATTAGAGTCTGAGCAGCTGGAGAGGAGCGTTTTACAGTAGTCTAGATTATATTAGAGTCTGAGCAGCTGGAGAGGAGAGTTTTACAGTAGTCTAGATTATATTAGAGTCTGAGCAGCTGGAGAGGAGAGTATTACAGTAGTCTAGATTATATTAGAGTCTGAGCAGCTGGAGAGGAGAGTATTACAGTAGTCTAGATTATATTAGAGTCTGAGCAGCTGGAGAGGAGAGTTTTACAGTAGTCTAGATTATATTAGAGTCTGAGCAGCTGGACAGGAGGGCATTACAGTAGTCTAGATTATATTAGAGTCTGAGCAGCTGGAGAGGAGAGTTTTACAGTAGTCTAGATTATATTAGAGTCTGAGCAGCTGGAGAGGAGCGTTTTACAGTAGTCTAGATTATATTAGAGTCTGAGCAGCTGGAGAGGAGCGTTTTACAGTAGTCTAGATTATATTAGAGTCTGAGCAGCTGGAGAGGAGAGTTTTACAGTAGTCTAGATTATATTAGAGTCTGAGCAGCTGGAGAGGAGAGTATTACAGTAGTCTAGATTATATTAGAGTCTGAGCAGCTGGACAGGAGGGCATTACAGTAGTCTAGATTATATTAGAGTCTGAGCAGCTGGAGAGGAGAGTATTACAGTAGTCTAGATTATATTAGAGTCTGAGCAGCTGGACAGGAGGGCATTACAGTAGTCTAGATTATATTAGAGTCTGAGCAGCTGGAGAGGAGAGTTTTACAGTAGTCTAGATTATATTAGAGTCTGAGCAGCTGGAGAGGAGAGTATTACAGTAGTCTAGATTATATTAGAGTCTGAGCAGCTGGACATTAGAGTATTACAGTAGTCTAGATTATATTAGAGTCTGAGCAGCTGGACAGGAGAGTATTACAGTAGTCTAGATTATATTAGAGTCTGAGCAGCTGGACATTAGAGTATTACAGTAGTCTAGATTATATTAGAGTCTGAGCAGCTGGAGAGGAGAGTTTTACAGTAGTCTAGATTATATTAGAGTCTGAGCAGCTGGACAGGAGAGTATTACAGTAGTCTAGATTATATTAGAGTCTGAGCAGCTGGAGAGGAGATTATTACAGTAATCTAGATTATATTAGAGTCTGAGCAGCTGGACAGGAGAGTATTACAGTAGTCTAGATTATATTAGAGTCTGAGCAGCTGGAGAGGAGATTATTACAGTAATCTAGATTATATTAGAGTCTGAGCAGCTGGAGAGGAGAGTTTTACAGTAGTCTAGATTATATTAGAGTCTGAGCAGCTGGAGAGGAGAGTTTTACAGTAGTCTAGATTATATTAGAGTCTGAGAAGCTGGAGAGGAGAGTATTACAGTAGTCTAGATTATATTAGAGTCTGAGCAGCTGGAGAGGAGAGTATTACAGTAGTCTAGATTATATTAGAGTCTGAGCAGCTGGAGAGGAGAGTTTTACAGTAGTCTAGATTATATTAGAGTCTGAGCAGCTGGACAGGAGGGCATTACAGTAGTCTAGATTATATTAGAGTCTGAGCAGCTGGAGAGGAGAGTTTTACAGTAGTCTAGATTATATTAGAGTCTGAGCAGCTGGAGAGGAGCGTTTTACAGTAGTCTAGATTATATTAGAGTCTGAGCAGCTGGAGAGGAGAGTTTTACAGTAGTCTAGATTATATTAGAGTCTGAGCAGCTGGAGAGGAGAGTATTACAGTAGTCTAGATTATATTAGAGTCTGAGCAGCTGGAGAGGAGAGTATTACAGTAGTCTAGATTATATTAGAGTCTGAGCAGCTGGAGAGGAGAGTTTTACAGTAGTCTAGATTATATTAGAGTCTGAGCAGCTGGACAGGAGGGCATTACAGTAGTCTAGATTATATTAGAGTCTGAGCAGCTGGAGAGGAGAGTTTTACAGTAGTCTAGATTATATTAGAGTCTGAGCAGCTGGAGAGGAGCGTTTTACAGTAGTCTAGATTATATTAGAGTCTGAGCAGCTGGAGAGGAGCGTTTTACAGTAGTCTAGATTATATTAGAGTCTGAGCAGCTGGAGAGGAGAGTTTTACAGTAGTCTAGATTATATTAGAGTCTGAGCAGCTGGAGAGGAGAGTATTACAGTAGTCTAGATTATATTAGAGTCTGAGCAGCTGGACAGGAGGGCATTACAGTAGTCTAGATTATATTAGAGTCTGAGCAGCTGGAGAGGAGAGTATTACAGTAGTCTAGATTATATTAGAGTCTGAGCAGCTGGACAGGAGGGCATTACAGTAGTCTAGATTATATTAGAGTCTGAGCAGCTGGAGAGGAGAGTATTACAGTAGTCTAGACTAGATGAAACAAATGCATGGACCAGTTTTTCGGCATCTGGCTGAGAGATGAAGTGTGGAAGATGACGTGTCTACTTCTGGAAATATAGTATTTTTGTTTATTTCAATGGATAGAGATGTAGTGCATAGTTCACCTTCTCCAGTGGACGATCATCCGTTACAAGGTGGTTCTGCCCTCTCTGTCTTCACAGGCTGTGTACATAACATCCACTCTGCCCTACGTGGTCCTCACCATCTTCCTGATCAGAGGGCTGACTCTCAAAGGTTCTCTGGATGGAATAAAGTTCCTCTTCACACCTGATGTAAGTATTTCTTCTCAAAGTGATAGTTCACCCCAAAATCAAAATTTCTCAGATGTTTTCATGCCTGAGATCCCTTTGTTGTGTGCAACACCATGAACCAACAACACCATGGACCAACAACACAATGGACCAACAACACCATGGACAAACAACAACACCATGGACAAACAACAACACCATGGACAAAAAACAACACCATGGACAAACAACACCACTCTTACCAAGAGGGTGCAACAGCGTCTCTACTTCCTAAGGCGGCTGAGGAAATTCAGCATGCCGCCCAGCGTCCTCTCCAAATACTACCGCTGCACCATCGAGAGCGTCCTGACCTGGTACGGGAATTGCTTCCGTCCACGACTGCAAGGCCTTGAGCGGGTGGTGAAGATGGCCCAGTACACCATCCATCCAGGAAACGGTGCAGAGGAGGTTCCTCAGCATCAAGGACCCCCACACACCCCAGACACGAGCTGTTCGCTCCCTTACCGTCGAGCAGACTGTATAGGAGCATGAGGTCTGATACCAACAGGCTCAGAGACAGTTTCTATCTACAAGGCATCAGACTGCTGAACACTTGAACTGGACTGACCACCTGCTCTGATTCTCCGCACCTTAGCACACACGCACGCACGCACGCACGCACGCACGCACGCACGCACGCACGCACGCACGCACACACACACACACACACACACACACACACACACACACACACACACACACACACACACACACACATCCCAACTGCTGCTACCAGACTCTTATTATACTGTTCAGTTATACACTGCCCCCCCCCCCCCCCCCCCCCCCCCCCCCCCCCCCCCCCCATCCCCCCCTTCCCAAAGACACGTGTAAATATTGGACCATAAAATGTGCCTTCCTGTATTATACTGATGCTAAAATGTTTATTCTGTTCTACTGATCCATTTACTTTATGTTCCTATTCTTATATTTTCTTATTTCTTATTGTTGTTGCATTGTTGAGAAGGAACCTGCAAGTAAGCATTTAGTTTAGACGGTGTCTACCATGCGTATCCCCTTGACATATGACTAATAAAACTTGAAACTTGAAAGTATACATTGATGATTGTCTTCTCATAGTTGAATGAGTTGATGAACCCGTCCACCTGGCTGGATGCAGGTGCCCAGGTGTTCTACTCTTTCTCCTTGGCCTTTGGAGGTCTCATCTCCTTCTCCAGCTATAACTCAGTGCAGTAAGTGACTCCTTATTACAGCATTTATCGACGGCTTCGTCCCAAATGGGACACTATTCCCTACCACATAGTGCACTACTTTTGAGGGCCCTATGAGCCCTGGTCAACAGTAGTTCAGTATGTAGTAGGGAAATAGGTTGCTATTTGGGACTCAATCCAACATGTGGACATCACAAGGTAGACAAATCTATCTTGACTCTTCGATGGACTCCACTCTTCTGTTTCTCCAGCAACAACTGTGAGCAGGACGCCGTCATTATCGCCATCATCAACGGCTTCACGTCAGTCTACGCTGCTACAGTCATCTACTCTATCATTGGCTTCAGGGCCACAGAGAGGTTCGACGACTGTCTGGGAGGGTACGTGTTTTCAGTCTGGTTACGTCGGGCTCTGAGCCTGCTTTTTAGGCCAGGACCGGGTTTAATCTGTGTCTGGGAAACCGGCACTTAATGGACAGACAGAACTGTCTCAAAACAACGATCATTTCGTTATTCTGTTTTGCTTGTCTTGATATTCCACACTGTACTTTGCTAGCAAATATCATTGGGGTTATGGGTATCATTGGGGTTATGGGTATCACTGGGGTTATGGGTTCTGTTGTTTGTGTATTTTTAAGATTCTTGGGCAAATGGTTAAACATGAAAACAGTTCGTACTCGAACCTACCTCAAATCTCAACCTTACAGGCTCTGTGTGTTGTCCCATCCAGAAACATCTTGTCCCTGCTGAACGCTTTCAGCCTTCCTGAGGGCAACATCACAGAAGGCAACTATGAAGAATCCCTACAGAATCTAAATGGCACCTTCCCAGAGATCATCCAGGGTCTGAACCTCAAGACCTGCGACTTGCAAACTTTCCTCAGTCAGGTATTGAAATGGGAAACTTTCCTCAGTCAGGTATTGAAATGGGAAACTTTCCTCAGTCAGGTATTGAAATGGGAAACTTTCCCCAGTCAGGTATTGAAATGGGAAACTTTCCCCAGTCAGGTATTGAAATGGGAAACTTTCCCCAGTCAGGTATTGAAATGGGAAACTTTCCCCAGTCAGGTATTGAAATGGGAAACTTTCCTCAGTGATGTACGGTCACCAGACATCAAAAGCCTTTCGCCCTTTCCAATTGGCGCCATGTTGGTCATGGAACATTTGGTGCCAACATGGAGAATAGTTTACCAAACTTTTTACTGTTTATCTATGGATCTGGTTTTAGTCATGTCTGACCTGATGGTGAGTCATTGTCTTTCAATAGGGTGTGGAGGGAACTGGTCTGGCCTTCATCGTGTTCACAGAGGCCATCACCAAGATGCCGATCTCTCCTCTCTGGTCCATCCTGTTCTTCATCATGCTCTTCTGTCTGGGACTGTCTACCATGTTTGGCAGCATAGAGGGGGTCGTGGTGCCCCTTCAGGATCTCAACATCTTCCCTAAAAGGTGGCCTAAGGAGGCGATCACTGGTAAATACCTCGGCTTGAAATCAATTGAGACCAGTATCATAGGACGCACTGTGCAGGGATCTCCAACTCCTCTCTCGGAGAGCTTAGTGCTGGGATGGAGCAAATGCCTGCACGTCCTGTAGCTCTCCAGGACTAGAGATGAAGACCACTGATCAAATGTGCCTTGAAGAAATAACTTAGCATTTATGTGTCTTTCTGTTTCAGGTATTGTCTGTCTGGTGTCATTCATTGTTGCCCTGATATTTGCTCAGAGTTCTGGTAACTACTGGCTGGCCTTGTTCGACAGCTTCGCCGGCTCCATCCCTCTCCTAGTCATCGCCTTCTGTGAGATGGTGTCTGTTGTTTACATCTACGGGATAGACAGGTGAGTCCAGAGCCAGAACACCATTAAAATAAAATAGAACTGAATGGAATAGAAATACCCTGTCAATGCTATGTGGTCTACATCTATGGCATAGACGGGTGAGTGTTCACCTCCTCTTCCTCCCCGATCCACCCCAACTGTTTGAGGCATTGGCTGCCAAAGAAATCACTCCAAGTAGCTGTGAATTGTGGCAAAAGCTAACTAAGCTAATGCATGTTCATCTTAATGATGCCAAAGTTGGTAGCCTCATGAACTCAGCCGGATCTTGCAAAGATCACGTTTTGTTTCACAGAGGGGGTCGAATACTTATTTCCCTCATTAAAATGCAAATCAATTTATAACATTTTTGACATGTGTTTTTCTGGATTTTTTTGTTGTTATTCTGTCTCTCACTGTTCATATAAACCTACCATTAAAATTATAGACTGATCATTTCTTTGTCAGTGGGCAAACGTACAAAATCAGCAGGGGATCAAATACTTTTTTTCCCTCACTGTATGTGAAGTGAAACAAAATGTGAGCTTCCAAGATCAGGCTGATTTAACGAGGCTACAAAGTTGGCATGTAATGTAGTATTCAAAGGTTAATGCTGCACCTAACAAATCAAATCAAATCAAATCAAATCAAATTTTATTGGTCACATGCGCCGAATACAACAGGTGCAGACATTACAGTGAAATGCTTACTTACAGCCCTTAACCAACAGTGCATTTATTTTAAACAAAAAAAGTAAGAATAAAACAACAACAAAAAAAGTGTTGAGAAAAAAAGAGCAGAAGTAAAATAAAGTGACAGTAGGGAGGCTATATATACAGTAAAATAAAGTAACAGTAGGGAGGCTATATATACAGTGGGGTACCGTTGCAGAGTCAATGTGCGGGGGCACCGGCTAGTTGAGGTAGTTGAGGTAATATGTACATGTGGGTAGAGTTAAAGTGACTATGCATAAATACTTAACAGAGTAGCAGCAGCGTAAAAAGGATGGGGTGGGGGGCAGTGCAAATAGTCTGGGTAGCCATGATTAGCTGTTCAGGAGTCTTATGGCTTGGGGGTAGAAGCTGTTGAGAAGTCTTTTGGACCTAGACTTAGCACTCCGGTACCGCTTGCCGTGCGGTAGCAGAGAGAACAGTCTATGACTAGGGTGGCTGGAGTCTTTGACAATTTTGAGGGCCTTCCTCTGACACCGCCTGGTATAGAGGTCCTGGATGGCAGGGAGCTTTGCCCCAGTGATGTACTGGGCCGTACGCACTACCCTCTGTAGTGCCTTGCGGTCAGAGGCCAAGCAGTTGCCATACCAGGCGGTGATGCAACCAGTCAGGATGCTCTCGATGGTGCAGCTGTAGAATTTTTTGAGGATCTGAGGACCCATGCCAAATCTTTTTAGTCTCCTGAGGGGGAATAGGCTTTGTAATGCCCTCTTCACGACTGTCTTGGTGTGTTTGGACCATGATAGTTCGTTGGTGATGTGGACACCAACCTGTTCCACTACAGCCCCGTCGATGAGAATGGGGGCGTGCTCAGTCCTCTTTTTTTTCCTGTAGTCCACAATCATCTCCTTTGTCTTGGTCACGTTGAGGGAGAGGTTGTTGTCCTGGCACCACACGGCCAGATCTCTGACCTCCTCCCTATAGGCTGTCTCATCGTTGTCGGTGATCAGGCCTACCACTGTTGTGTCGTCGGCAAACTTAATGATGGTGTTGGAGTCGTGCCTGGCCATGCAGTCATGGGTGAACAGAGAGTACAGGAGGGGACTGAGCACGCACCCCTGAGGGGCCCCCGTGTTGAGGATCAGTGTGGCAGATGTGTTGTTACCTACCCTTACCACCTGGGTTGCGGCCCGTCAGGAAGTCCAGGATCCAGTTGCAGAGGGAGGTGTTTAGTCCCAGGATCCTTAGCTTAGTGATGAGCTTAGAGGGCACTATGGTGTTGAATGCTGAGCTGTAGTCAATGAATAGCATTCTCACGTAGGTGTTCCTCTTGTCCAGGTGGGAAAGGGCAGTGTGGAGTGCGATAGAGATTGCATCATCCGTGGATCTGTTGGGGCGGTATGCAAATTGGAGTGGGTCTAGGGTTTCTGGGATTATGCTGTTGATGTGAGCCATGACCAGTCTTTCAAAGCACTTCATGGCTACAGACGTCAGTGCTACGGGTCGGTAGTCATTTAGGCAGGTTATCTTAGAGTTCTTGGGCACGGGGACTATGGTGGTCTGCTTGAAACATGTTGGTATTACAGACTCAGTCAGGGACATGTTGAAAATGTCAGTGAAGACACTTGCTAGTTGGTCAGCACATGCTCGGAGTACACGTCCTGGTAATCCGTCTGGCCCTGCGGCCTTGTGAATGTTGACCTGCTTAAAAGTCTTACTCACATCGGCTACGGAGAGCGTGATCACATAGTCGTCCGGAACAGCTGGTGCTCTCATGCATGCTTCAGTGTTGCTTGCCTCGAAGCGAGCATAGAAGTGGTTTAGCTCGTCTGGTAGGCTTGTGTCACTGGGCAGCTCGCGGCTGTGCTTCCCTTTGTAGTCTGTAATAGTTTTCAAGCCCTGCCACATCCGACGAGCGTCAGAGCCAGTGTAGTATGATTCAATCTTAGACCTGTATTGACTCTTTGCCTGTTTGATGGTTCGTCGGAGGTCATAGCGGGATTTCTTATTAGCGTCCGGGTTAGAGTCCCGTTCCTTGAAAGCGGCAGCTCTACCCTTTAGCTCAGTGCGGATGTTTCCTGTAATCCATGGCTTCTGGTTGGGGTATGTACGTACGGTCACTGTGGGGACGACATCATCCATGCACTTATTGATGAAGCCAGTGACTGATGTGGTGTACTCCTCAATGCTGTCTGAAGAATCCCGGAACATGTTCCAGTCTGTGCTAGCAAAACAGTCCTGTAGCTTAGCATCTGCGTCATCTGACCACTTTTTTATTAACCGAATCACTGGTGCTTCCTGCTTCAGTTTTTGCTTATAAGCAGGAATCAGGAGGATAGAGTTATGGTCAGATTTGCCAAATGGAGGGCGAGGGAGAGCTTTGTATGCGTCTCTGTGTGTGGAGTAAAGGTGGTCTAGAGTTTTTTCCCCTCTGGTTGCACATTTAACATGCTGGTAGAAATTAGGTAGAACGGATTTAAGTTTCCCTGCATTAAAGTCCCCGGCTACTAGGAGCGCTGCATCTGGATGAGCGTTTTCCTGTTGATTAATGGCCTTGTACAACTCATTCAGTGCAATCTTAATGCCAGCATTGGTTTGTGGTGGTAAATAGACAGCTATGAAAAATATAGATGAAAACTCTCTTGGTAAATAGTGTGGTCTACAGCTTATCATAAGATACTCTACCTCAGGCGAGCAAAACCTCGAGACTTCCTTAGTATTTGATTTTGTGCACCAGCTGTTGTTTACAAATATACAGAGACCGCCACCCTTTGTCTTACCAGAGTCAGACGTTCTGTCCTGCCGATGTAGCGTATAGCCTGCTAGCTGAATGTTATCATTGTTGTCGTTCAGCCACGACTCCGTGAAACATAAGATATTACAGTTTTTAATGTCCCGTTGGTAGGATAACCGTAATCTTAAATCATCAATTTTATTCTCAAAAGATTGAACGTTGGCTAATAGGATTGATGGGAGAGGCAGTTTACTCGCTCGCCGTCGGATCCTTACAAGGCACCCGGATCTGCGTCCGCGATATCTCCGTCTCTTCCTCACGCGAATGACGGGGATCTGGGCCTTGTCGGGTGTCTGTAGGATATCCTTCGCGAACGCCTCGTTGAAGAAAAAATCTTCGTCCAATGCGAGGTGAGTAATCGCTGTCCTGATATCCAGAAGCTCTCTTTGGTTATAAGAGACGATGGCAGAAACATTATGTACAAAATAAATTACAAATAACGCGGAAAAACACACATAATAGTACAATTGGTTAGAGGGCTGTAAAACGGCAGCCATCTTCTCCGGCGCTGTTCTGATGACAAAGGTGAATGTAACGCTTGTATTTGTGATGAGCGTCAAACAGTGATCAGTTCAAGATAGGTCTGATGCGTACGTCTCTCCTGGTCACCCATTATCTCCAGCCTCTCCAACATGTGTGTGTATCAGAGGGGTTCGGAGACAAATGTCTTCTTCTTCTTCTTCTTCGTCTTCTTCGTCTTCTTCTTCTTCTTCTTCTTCTTCTTCTACAGGTTTAACAAGGACATAGAGTTCATGATCGGTCATAGGCCCAACATCTTCTGGCAGGTGACCTGGAGGTTCATCAGCCCTTTAATCGTCTTAGTCATCTTCATCTTCTACTTCATTACCAAAGTCAGCTCCAACGTCACCTATATCGCCTGGAATCCAAGCTCGGTATGTTCCTCTACATGTTCCTCCTCTACATGTTCCTCTTCTACATGTTCCTCCTCTACATGTTCCTTCTACATGTTCCTCCTCTCCACGTTCCTCTTCTACACGTTCCTCCTCTACATGTTCCTCCTCTACATGTTCCTCTTCTACATGTTCCTCCTCTACATGTTCCTCCTCTACATGTACCTCTACATGTTCCTCCTCTACATGTTCCTCTCCATGTTCCTCCTCTCCATGTTCCTTCTACATGTTCCTTCTACATGTTCCTCCTCTACATGTTCCTCCTCTACATGTTCCTTCTACATGTTCCTCCTCTCCACGTTCCTCCTCTACATGTTCCTCCTCTCCACGTTCCTCTTCTACACGTTCCTCCTCTACATGTTCCTCCTCTACATGTTCCTCCTCTACATGTTCCTCTTCTACATGTTCCTCCTCTACATGTTCCTCCTCTACATGTTCCTCCTCTACATGTACCTCTACATGTTCCTCCTCTACATGTACCTCTACATGTTCCTCCTCTACATGTTCCTCCTCTACATGTTCCTCCTCTACATGTTCCTCTCCATGTTCCTCCTCTCCATGTTCCTCTCCATGTTCCTCCTCTCCATGTTCCTTCTACATGTTCCTCCTCTACATGTTCCTCTTCTCCACGTTCCTCCTCTCCACGTTCCTCCTCTACATGTTCCTCCTCTACATTCAAATCAGGGGCCGTATTGATCAAGTGTCTCAGAGTAGGAGTGTTGATCCAGGATCAGTTTGACCTTTTAGATCACAATGAATCAGATTACATGGACAGGGAAGACCTGATCCCACATCAGCACTCCTACTCCGAGACACTTAAGAAGATAACCTATTGTGTGACTGAACACTAGGTGCTGCTAGACTATGCCAACAGGAGCCATGGGGAACTAACTCACTACGCGTCACATATAGTCAACACTTTTTTTCTAGATATCAATAAGAACAATTGATGGCATTTAGATAGCATTTATATAGCACCTTTCCAGTTGTCAAAGCACTGAAAGTGGGGTAAACTCCCCTCATCCAACACCAATGTGTAGCACGATAGGGTGTCCTTATCAAGGACTTGTTTTCTCATCTCTGTGTTCCGCAGGCTGACTTCCCCACCCTGGAGGTGTTGGAGTATCCCGCTTGGATCTACGCCATCGTCTTCATCCTAGCAGGGATCCCCAGTCTGCTGGTTCCAGGCATGGCCACATTCAAACTCATCCAGACACGCTGCTGCAAGAAATACGTCTACAGAGCAGAAGTCGACACTGTCTCAGCCAAGGTTCAGATGTATGCTACGAGGATGTTGTAGAATACCACGCCACCAACATCATATGGGACAATACTACATTGGAGAATACAAAATTTTAGTAAACATCCAAAATTATTAATCCCAAAATGTTTGGGGTCAATTACATTTTTTCCATTTCCTTCAATTCAGGAAGTTAAAGAATAAAAACAATAATATATAAACTGTTATAAATAAGTAAGTCGCTCTGGATAAAAGCGTCTGCTAAATGACTAAAATGTAATGTAATGGGCACTTATTAACCTGAATGTAACTCATTTAAATGGGATCAACCTCAACCCTGTTGGTTTTAAGGACATCCAGGAATATATCTGAAATTGGCTGCAATGTCTCTTGATTATTCCACAAAGGACCACACCAAGTGCAATGAAACTGTTTGTTGTATGTATCTATGTGATAATCTGTCCTTTCATTGGAATTTTTGTAGGGCGTTTTTTCTTTTGCTTTGGGTTTCTGATGCAATAGAACCTCAGCCCTACGCCCCACCACCTCAGCCCTACGCCCCACCACCTCAGCCCTACGCCCCACACCTCAGCCACACCACTACCTAAGCCCCACACCTAGCCCTACACCCCACCACCTCAGCAGCCCCACCACCTCACGTACGCCCCACCACCTCAGCCCTACGCCCACCACTCAGCCCTACACCCCACCCACCTCAGCCATGACACCGCCTACCCCCACCACTCAGCCCTACGCCCCACCACCTCAGCCCTCCCCCCACACCCACCTCACCACTAGCCACCCCACCACCTCTACACCCACATCCCACCTCAGCCCTACGCCCCACACCTCAGCCCTACGCCCACCACCTCAGCCCTACCCCCACACCTCAGCCTACCCACCACCTCAGCCCTACCCCCACCACCTCAGCCCTACGCCCCACCACCTAAGCCCTAACCCCCATCCCACCTCGCCTCCCTCACCACCCCACCCTACCCCCACCACCTCAGCCCTACGCCCCACCACCTCAGCCCTACGCCCCCACCACCCAGCCTACCCCCACCTCAGCCCTACGCCCCACCACCTCAGCCCTACACCCCCACCCACCTCAGCCCTACGCCCACCACCCCTCAGCCCTACGCCCCCACCACCTCAGCCCTACGCCCCACCACCTCAGCCCTACGCCCACCCCACCTCAGCCCTACGCCCACCCCACCCAACCCTCAGCCCTACACCCCACATCATCCCACCTCCCTCAGCCCTACGCCCCACCACCTCAGCCCTACGCCCCACCACCTCAGCCCTACGCCCCACCACCTCAGCCCTACCCCATCACCTCACCATCCCCTCACCCTCACCCCTACCCCCACCACCTCAGCCTACACCCCACCACCTCAGCCCTACACCCACCATCCACCTCAGCCCTACGACCCCACCACCTCAGCCCTACGCCCCACCACCTCAGCCCTACACCCCACCCTCAGCCCCCCCACCACCTCAGCCCTACACCCACCATCCACCTCAGCCCTACACCCCACCATCCCACCAGCTCTACACACCCCACCATCCCACCTCAGCCCTACGCCCCACCACCTCAGCCCTACACCCCACCCTCCTCAGCCCTACGCCCCACCACCTCAGCCCTACGCCCCACCACCTCAGCCCTACGCCCCACCACCTCAGCCCTACACCCCACCACCTCAGCCCTATGCCCACCACCTCAGCCCTACACCACCACCATCCCACCTCAGCCCTACGCCCCCCACACCTCAGCCCTACACCCCACCATCCCACCTCAGCCCTACGCCCCCACCACCTCAGCCCTACGCCCCACCACCTCAGCCCTACGCCCCACCACCTCAGCCCTACGCCCCACCACCTCAGCCCTACGCCCCACCACCTCAGCCCTACGCCCCCACCACCTCAGCCCTACGCCCCACCACCTCAGCCCTACACCCCACCACCTCAGCCCTACACCCCACCATCCCACCTCAGCCCTACGCCCCCACCACCTCAGCCCTACGCCCCACCACCTCAGCCCTACACCCCATCACCTCAGCCCTACGCCCCACCACCTCAGCCCTACACCCCACCATCCCACCTCAGCCCTACACCCCACCATCCCACCTCAGCTCTACACCCCACCATCCCACCTCAGCCCTACGCCCCACCACCTCAGCCCTACACCCCACCTCCTCAGCCTACGCCCCACCACCTCAGCCCTACGCCCCACCACCTCAGCCCCTACGCCCCCACCCACCTCAGCCCTACACACCAACCACCTCAGCCCTATGCCCCACCACCTCAGCCTACACCCCACCATCCCACCTCAGCCCTACGCCCCCACCCACCTCAGCCCTACACCCCACCATCCCCACCTCAGCCCTACGCCCCACCACCTCAGCCCCTACGCCCACCACCTCAGCCCTACGCCCCCACCACTCAGCCCTACGCCCCACCCACCTCAGCCACTACGCCCCACCACCTCAGCCCTACGCCCCACCACCTCAGCCCTACGCCCCCACCACCTAGCCCTACACCCCACCACCTCAGCCCCTACACCCCACCCACCTCAGCCCTACGCCCCACCACCTCAGCCCTACACCCCACCCACCTCAGCCCAACGCCCCCCACCACCTCAGCCCTACGCCCCACCACCTCAGCCCTACGCCCCACCATCCCACCTCAGCCCTACGCCCCACCACCTCAGCCCTACGCCCCACCACCTCAGCCCTACGCCCCCACCATCCCTTCTCAGCCCTACGCCCCACCACCTCAGCCCTACGCCCCCACCACCTCAGCCCTACGCCCCACCACCTCAGCCCTACGCCCCACCCTCCCACCTCAGCCCTACACCCCACCACCTCAGCCCTACGCCCCACCACCTCAGCCTACGCCCCCACCACCTCAGCCCTACACCCCACCATCCCACCTCCAGCCCTACGCCCCCACCACCTCAGCCCTACACCCCACCATCCCACCTCAGCCCTTACACCCCACCCTCCCACCTCAGCCCTACACCCCACCATCCCACCTCAGCCCTACGCCCCACCACCTCAGCCCTACACCCCACCATCCCACCTCAGCCCTAACACCCCACCATCCCACCTCAGCCCTACGCCCCACCACCTCAGCCCTACACCCCACCACCTCAGCCCTACGCCCCACCACCTCAGCCCTACGCCCCACCACCTCAGCCCTACACCCCACCATCCCACCTCAGCCCTACGCCCCACCACCTCAGCCCTACACCCCACCATCCCACCTCAGCCCTACGCCCCCACCACCTCAGCCCTACGCCCCACCATCCCACCTCAGCCCTACGCCCCACCACCTCAGCCCTACGCCCCACCACCTCAGCCCTACGCCCCACCACCTCAGCCCAACACCCTCCCACCTCAGCCCTACACCCCACCATCCCACCTCAGCACTAGGCCTCAGCCCTACGTCTTTCTGTTTATGGGAAGTGTTCAAAGTTACACATCAGTCCTTAGCAGATAGAATAGACAATCAGAGATGGCATTGACATGCTGTTCACCAATACTGACAGACTGCCTACAAATCTGAATATGATCCATTTTGTCACAGGAGGATTTCAAAGGATATTTAATATTTAGAATCGCCACCAGGGGGCAGCTGGAAGCAGTGTTTGTAGGCTATACAGTAACTTAGACTGCAGGTCCACTGGGCGTCAGTTCAAGTAGCCTATGTAGGCTATGTGCAGGCTATAGCACGTCTTGTGTGAATCCTTATGTGGATTATAATATATTTACTATACTATGTAGGGGGTAGATGTATTTTCTATCAGTTTTTTTCTATCAATTGTTTTATTGGGCTCCCGAGTGGCGCAGCGGTCTAAGGCACTGCATCTCAGTGCTAGAGGCATCACTACAGACCCTGGTTCGACCCTGGCTCGTCATCCTTACCAGGGTCTTGACCTGACTGCAGTTTGGAGTCGTAACTGACTTCAGTGGGCAAATACTCACCTTCGACGGCCAGTGGCACGCTGGAGAAGTGTGCTCTTCACGGATGAATCCCGGTTTCAACGGTAACGGGCAGATGGAACGTGAATGGCGTCGTGTGGGCGAGCGGTTTGCTGATGTCAACGTTGTGAACAGAGTGTCCCATGGTGGCTGTGGGGTTACGGTATGGGCAGGCATAAGCTATGGACAACTAATTTAATTGCATTTTATCGATGGCAATTTGAATGCACAGCGATACCGTGAAGAGATCATGATGCCATTGTCGTACCATTCATCCATCGCCATCAACTCAAGTTTCAGCATGATAATGCACGGACCCATGTTGCAAGGATCTGTACACAATTCCTGGAAGCTGAAAATGTCCCAGTTCTCACATGGCCTGCATACTCACCAGACATGTCACCCATTGAGCATGTTTGGGATGCACTGGATCGATGTATATGACAGCATGTTCCAGTTCCCGACAATATCCAGCAACTTCGCACATCCATTGAAGAGGAGTGGAACAACATTCCACAGGCCACAATTAACAGCCTGATCAATTCTATGCAAAGGAGATGTGTCCCGCTGCATAAGGCAATTGGTGGTCAAACCAGATACTGACTGGTTTTCAGATCCATGCACCTACCTTTTTTTAAAGGTAGATATGTGACCAACAGATGCATATCTGTATTCCCAGTCATGTAAAATCCATAGATTAGGACCTAATGAATATATTTCAATTGACTGATTTCCTTATATGAACTGTAACTCAGTAAAATCTTTGAAAATTGTTGCATGTTGTGTTTTATATATTTTTGTTCAGTATTAATGTTTGTCTCAGAGCCTGTGTGGTCCAATGGGTACAGCTGCTGACAACGGCAAACATATGAGTAGGCTTGGGATAGAATCTGGCCCGATACAGCCCAGTTACTCTCTGTGATATGGTTGAAAATCAAACTCCAAATTTGGTGATAGTGTTTTTATTTTTACGAATCGATACTATTGGTTTACCCTTTACATCTGTATGAAGGTTTCACAACCCCCTTGACCAATTACATGTATTCAAAATAGCTTGTCATCAAAACTCTTAAATGTGTCTGATTTGCATACTAGTAACATAAGTGCTGATTGTTGTTGACTTGAAATATTAAACATCACACTTGGTGTACAGTGGGGAAAAAAAGTATTTAGTCAGCCACCAATTGTGCAAGTTCTCCCACTTAAAAAGATGAGAGAGGCCTGTAATTTTCATCATAGGTACACGTCAACTATGACAGACAAAATGAGATTTTTTTTCTCCAGAAAATCACATTGTAGGATTTTTTATGAATTTATTTGCAAATTATGGTGGAAAATAAGTATTTGGTCAATAACAAAAGTTTCTCAATACTTTGTTATATACCCTTTGTTGGCAATGACACAGGTCAAACGTTTTCTGTAAGTCTTCACAAGGTTTTCACACACTGTTGCTGGTATTTTGGCCCCATTCCTCCATGCAGATCTCCTCTAGAGCAGTGATGTTTTGGGGCTGTCACTGGGCAACACTGACTTTCAACTCCCTCCAAAGATTTTCTATAAGGTTGAGATCTGGAGACTGGCTAGGCCACTCCAGGACCTTGAAATGCTTCTTACGAAGCCACTCCTTCGTTGCCCGGGCGGTGTGTTTGGGATCATTGTCATGCTGAAAGACCCAGCCACGTTTCATCTTCAATGCCCTTGCTGATGGAAGGAGGTTTTCACTCAAAATCTCACGATACATGGCCCCATTCATTCTTTCCTTTACACAGATCAGTCGTCCTGGTCCCTTTGCAGAAAAACAGACCAAAAGCATGATGTTTCCACCCCCATGTTTCACAGTAGGTATGGTGTTCTTTGGATGCAACTCAGCATTCTTTGTCCTCCAAACACGACGAGTTGAGTTTTTACCAAAAAGTTCTATTTTGGTTTCGTCTGACCATATGACATTCTCCCAATCCTCTTCTGGATCATCCAAATGCACTCTAGCAAACTTCAGACGGGCCTGGACATGTACTGACTTAAGCAGGGGGACACGTCTCGCACTGTAGGATTTGAGTCCATGGCGGCGTAGTGTGTTACTGATGGTAGGCTTTGTTATTTTGGTCCCAGCTCTCTGCAGGTCATTCACTAGGTCCCCCCGTGTGGTTCTGGGATTTTTGCTCACCGTTCTTGTGATAATTTTGACCCCACGGGGTGAGATCTTGCGTGGAGCCCCAGATCAAGGGAGATTATCAGTGGTCTTGTATGTCTTCCATTTCCTAATAATTGCTCCCACAGTTGATTTCTTCAAACCAAGCTGCTTACCTATTGCAGATTCATTCTTCCCAGCCTGGTGCAGGTCTACAATTTTGTTTCTGGTGTCCTTTGACAGCTCTTTGGTCTTGGCCATAGTGGAGTTTGGAGTGTGACTGTTTGAGGTTGTGGACAGGTGTCTTTTATACTGATAACAAGTTCAAACAGGTGCCATTAATACAGGTAACGAGTGGAGGACAGAGGAGCCTCTTAAAGAAGAAGTTACAGGTCTGTGAGAGCCAGAAATCTTGCTTGTTTGTAGGTGACCAAATACTTATTTTCCACCATAATTTGCAAATAAATTCATTAAAAATCCTACAATGTGATTTTCTGGATTTTTTTCTTCTCAATTTGTCTGTCATGGTTGACGTGTACCTATGATGAAAATTACAGGCCTCTCTCATCTTTTTAAGTGGGAGAACTTGCACAATTGGTGGCTGACTAAATACTTTTTTTCCCCACTGTAAATCTTTATCAATCAATCAATCAATCAATTTTATTTTATATAGCCCTTCTTACATCAGCTAATATCTCGAAGTGCTGTACAGAAACCCAGCCTAAAACCCCAAACAGCTAGTAATGCAGGTGTAGAAGCACGGTGGCTAGGAAAAACTCCCTAGAAAGGCGAAAACCTAGGAAGAAACCTAGAGAGGAACCAGGCTATGAGGGGTGGCCAGTCCTCTTCTGGCTGTGCCGGGTGGAGATTATAACAGAACCATGCCAAGATGTTCAAAAATGTTCATAAGTGACAAGCATGGTCAAATAATAATCAGGAATAAATCTCAGTTGGCTTTTCATAGCCGATCATTAAGAGTTGAAAACAGCAGGTCTGGGACAGGTAGGGGTTCCATAACCGCAGGCAGAACAGTTTAAACTGGAATAGCAGCAAGGCCAGGCGGACTGGGGACAGCAAGGAGTCACCACGGCCGGTAGTCCCGACGTATGGTCCTAGGGCTCAGGTCTCTCAGTTGGCTTTTCATAGCCGATCATTAAGAGTTGAAAACAGCAGGTCTGGGACAGGTAGGGGTTTCGTAGCCGCAGGCAGAACAGTTGAAACTGGAATAGCAGCAAGGCCAGGCGGACTGGGGACAGCAAGGTGTCATCATGCCCGGTAGTCCTGACGTATGGTCCTAGGGCTCAGGTTCTCAGAGAGAAAGAGAGAACGAGAGAATTAGAGAGAGCATACTTAAATTCACACAGGACACTGGATAAGACAGGAGAAGTACTCCAGGTATAACCAACTAACCCCAGCCCCCCGACACATAAACTACTGCAGCATAAATACTGGAGGCTGAGACAGGAGCGGTCCGGAGACACTGTGGCCCCATCCGAAGAAACCTCCGGACAGGGCCAAACAGGAAGGATATAACCCCACCCACTCCGCCAAAGCACAGCCCCCGCACCACTAGAGGGATATCCCCAACCACCAACTTACAATCCTGAGACAAGGCCGAGTATAGTCCACAGAGGTCTCCACCACAGCACAAACCAAGGGGGGGGCGCCAACCCAGACAGGAAGATCACGTCAGTAACTCAACCCACTCAAGTGACGCACCCCTCCCAGGGACGGCATGAAAGAGCACCAGCAAGCCAGTGACTCAGCCCCTGCAACAGGGTTAGAGGCAGAGAACCCCAGTGGAGAGGGGAACCGGCCTGGCAGAGACAGCAAGGGCTGTTCGTTGCTCCAGCCTTTCCGTTCACCTTCACACTCCTGGGCCAGACTACACTCAATCATATGACCTACTGAAGAGATAAGTCTTCAGTAAAGACTTAAAGGTTGAGACCGAGTCTGCGTCTCTCACATGGGTAGGCAGACTGTTCCATAAAAATGGAGATCTATAGGAGAAAGCCCTGCCTCCCGCTGTTTGCTTAGAAATTCTAGGGACAATTAGGAGGCCTGCGTCTTGTGACCGTAGCGTACGTATTGGTATGTACGGCAGGACCAACTCGGAAAGATAGGTAGGAGCAAGCCCATGTAACGCTTTATAGGTTAACAGTAAAACCTTGAAATCAGCCCTTGCCTTAACAGGAAGCCAGTGTAGGGAAGCTAGCACTGGAGTAATATGATCAAATTTCTTGGTTCTAGTCAGGATTCTAGCAGCCGTATTTAGCACTAACTGAAGTTTATTTAGTGCTTTATCCGGGTAGCCGGAAAATAGAGCATTGCAGTAGTCTAACCTAGAAGTAACAAATGCATGGATTAATTTTTCTGCATCATTTTTGGACAGAAAATTTCTGATTTTTGCAA